ATATGTTACATTTGCTTGTTCTGAGATTATGAAAGTTGGCTATTTTAAAAATTAACCATTTTATATTTTCACTGAAGAAAAATATTGTAGGAGACATTATATTGGTGATAACAAAGGATAGGAACCCTTCAAGTTTCAGGGATTTGAAGTTGCTGTATGTTCTTGTCTCCTTTCATGGACATAACTTTCTAGTGTTGTGTATCAGCAGCCACTTTCTTTATTAAAAATGAATTAACACCATTCTTGGGTAGAGGAAATTGAAAGTCACAAATAATTAAAGATAAATGTAAAAGATTAATATTTGCATGAGGTTCTTTTCCTTATATGACTGAAAGAAGTGACTCCCCCCCCCCGCATAAGGAGAGATTCTTGGAAAGGGACCTGAAAAGTCAAAAGCTTGTATGGTAACTAAAACAGAGTTTTCTCTTCATAGAATTCTCTGGCCTCTATTCCTGTAAATTGATATGTAATCTCACATAAATTCATCTTTTAATTTTGAATTCCAGTGGAACCTTTGAGAGAAAGATGGCATTCCAAGTCAGTCAGTTTGATATACATTACACCTACAATTAGACACTCATTGCATTGAAATTAAGCCCAATGGACTTCAGCTAATACTCTCTTTCATGTGACAAAGAAAAATTTTACCATGTCTCTTCCCTACTTAAAATCTTTCTTTTTCCCTGTCCCCACTTAAAACATCTTCCACCTCAATGACACTGAATTCTTTTGTATGGCATGTCCTTCCTTTTCTGGTTAGTTTTGCAACAGTCTCAGGACAGAGACTTTTCCAGTTACACATTTGTAGCCCAGATCACTGCTTTCCAAATGTTAATGTATTTATGTATCATCTGGAGATCTCATTAAAAATGCAGGTTCAACACCCAAAAACCAAATAATCAAGTCAAAAAATGGGCAGAAGACATGAACAGACACTTCTCAAAAGAAGACATACAAATGGCTAACAGACACATCGTCATTAGCCATGAGGGAAATTCAAATCAAAACCATATTGAGATACCACCTCTTACCAGTTAGAATGGAAAAAATTGACAAGGGAAGAAACAACAAATGTTGGAGAGGTTGTGGAGAAAGGGGAACCCTCTTACACTGTTGGTGGGAATGCAAGTTGGTACAGCCACTTTGTTTTTTATTTTTTTAAGATTTTATTTATTTATTTGCGAGAGAGAGAATGAGAGACAGAGAGCATGAGAGGGAGGAGGGTCAGAGGGAGAAGCAGACTCCCCGCCGAGCAGGGAGCCCGATGCGGGACGCGATCCCGGGACTCCAGGATCATGACCTGAGCCGAAGGCAGTCGCTTAACCAACTGAGCCACCCAGGTGCCCCAGTACAGCCACTTTGGAAAACAGTGTGGAGGCTCCTCAAAAAATTAAAACTAGAATACACTATGACCCAGCAATTGGTAATACTGGGTATTTACCCCAAAGACACAGATGTAGTGAAAAGAAGGGCCGTATGCACCCCAATGTTCATAGCAGCAATGTCCACAATAGCCAAACTGTAGAAAGAGCCGAGATCCCCTTCAACAGATGAATGGATAAAGAAGATGTGGTCCATATATACAATGGAATATTACTCAGCCATCAGAAAGGATGAATACCCAACTTTTACATCAACATGGATGGAACTGGAGGAGATTATGCTAAGTGAAATAAGTCAAGCAGAGAAAGTCAATTATCATATGGTTTCACTTGTGGAACATAAGGAATAGCATGGAGGACATTAAGAGAAGGAAGGGAAAAATGGAGGGGGGGACATCGGAGGGTGAGATGAACCATGAGAGACGATGGACTCCGAGAAACAAACAGGGTTTTAGAGGGGAGGGGGTGGGGGGATGGGTTAGCCCGGTGATGGATATTAAGGAGGGCACGTACTGCATGGAGCACTGGGTGTTATATGCAAACAATGAATCATGGATCACTACATCAAAAACTAATGATGTAATGTATGGTGATTAACATAATATAATAATAAAAAAACACTAATGTATGGTGACTAACATAACATAATAAAATTAAATTAAAAAAAAATGCAGGTTCTGATTCAACAGGTCTGGGGTCTGGCCAAGATTCTAACAAGGTCCCAGGTGATACAGTAGACCATACTTTGGATAGCAAGCACCTAGATATATATGACCTGTTATTAAATTGGTATTAGTTCCTGAACCATAATAACTGAAAATTTAGACTTTCAGACTTTGACTTTTTTGTTTATTGGTAATCTCATAAAAATGCTGCGTGATCTGGACTTCTTTTTTTTCCCTAGTCTCCTTTCTTATCCCGTTCTTACTTTACATTTGAGACATAACAAACTAGTTGAAGTTTCCAGAATGTGTCAAGCTCTTTCACATCTCGGTACCTTTTCAAATGCTATTTCCTCTGCCTGTCCCAACATCTTGTGTTGCTTCCTTTAAAACTCAGCTCAACTAGGGGCATCTGGGTGGCATAGTCGGTTAAGTGTCTCGTTCTTGGTTTCAGCTCAGGTTGTGATCTCAGGGTTGTGGAATCAAGCCCCGTGGCAGATTCCATGCTCGGCACATAGTCTACTTGAGATTCTCTCTCCCTCTCTCTCTGCCTATTCCCACCGCCCCCCATGTTCTCTCTCTTTCTCAAATAAATAAATAAATCTTAAAAAAAAAAAAAAAAACCTCAGCTCAGTCGTGGTCTCCTCCAGGAATCCTTCCCTAATCTCTTTACATTGTAATTGTTTAATTAAATGCTTCCAGTATTCTCTCACAATGCCCTGTATTTCTTATGTTATAACTTTCTCATAATTTATTATAGTGTCGGCTGACTTGTCTGCTTGCTTCAAGACAACATTTCATGGGAGGAAGAGATTATGTATTTTATCTCTGTTACCTACTGCCAATCACAATGCCTGACACATAGTAGGTTTCCATTAAAGTTTGTGGAATGAATGAGGAACGGCAGTTGATGTGCTGTAGTTATGCAATAATATAATGCAGTATTTTCTTTCATGAAGTTTGAATTGGGAGTAATAACTAAAGTCATAAAAAGTTAAGTACAGGATGAGATAATACTGAAGATATAAAATGTTAGTATGTGATTAATTGCCAAATGAGGATCATAGAAAATAACTGTTCGAAGTTCATTGGATTGGAAAATGTCACTATAGATTTATTACTGTGTCTTTAATATCCCAGTTGTTCCGCAAAAGATTTGAGATAGCTGACAACACTATGTATGGGAGTTAATGAGAGGTATAAACACATACATAGTTAAGGGAATAGCATTTAGAAGAGGAGGGAGTTATGGAAGTACATACTCAGAACTTGAGGAGCAAATATACTAGCATATTTGCAAAAATAGTCCTTATTCAATAATGGGCAGTAAGAAAGATGTGCTGGACTTCCATTTCCACTCTCTACCTTGGAGGCTGACTTCTGTGGTGGCATCAGTAGCTCCCTTGTCCTCTGGCTTCTGGCTGAATTTGGCCAAAGGAAGGGACGTACCCTGGCAGAGGATCAAATGGAAGGAGAAGAGTGAGGTCAGGATATTTATTTTCCTGTGTTACCTAGAACTGGCTGTGCCTCTGTGTAAATTGCCCCTTTGTTAAAATCTCCTTATTCTAATTTGAGTGTGCCCCCTGTTCCCTGTTGACACTCTGATACAATTATGGAGTTGTTTAATGTTAGATTGGATGCCCGGCTTAATAACTTTTATGATAACCATTTATGCTACAAAAATGTTTTAGGTGCTGTATATCAGGTAAGATTCTATGAGGAGGGGGTTCAGTAGAGAAGAATTCGGAAAGCAAACCAACCTGAAATCTCATACTTATATTGTTCACATTTTAATGTGGGATAGAGGATATAACTCATAATGGAGGTAGGGAAAAATTGATATGTTTAAATCCCCACAGTTCTATAATTTTTTTTTACGTCAACCTTTCATTTACTGTTCAGTTGTAAAGTAATAATGTCTTAGAGATGCAGTGTTTGGGTTGTTCCCTTTTTACTTGGGGTAGATTATCCAGAATTTTTGCCTCTCTTTTCTGTTGCTCATTTTCTGGTTATTTCAGTGCACACTCTTCTTCCATCAGGAGATGGAAAAAGAAAATAAATGGATGAAAAGCTTAGCTTTAGTATCTATAAGAGGTTTGTTAGGAAAGAGCCTGAAATTCTAAACTAAAATGAAGCTTTTCAGTTTATCTGGGCTGGTCTGCCCCCTATTGCCATAAAGATACCAAGAGGTCTTTCCAGCTTGTCAAAAATCAAGAGATAAAATGGACAGAAAGTCTTATATTCATGATGATGAAGAGAAACAGGTTTAATAAATAGATAAGATGCTCTTAATATAAGGCCCTGGTGTATAGACTCTGTCTTTGAGTCTTGGATTGCATTACAACCTTGTTTGCAATACAAACTTAGATCATTGTTGACTCATATGAGCCTAATTCTGTGACCCAGCAAAAATAGATCATAAATCCCAGCAATGGAAAGCATGTTTGTGGTTTGACCTTGGAATGATGAGCTAAAGGTGCTGAGGAAACCATGAATCTACTTTACAATAATAACAAAAATAAGTTTGTTTATACTTTGCCCAGTGGATGAAGTGAAAATCTAATATTTTTCTTGGTACAAGCTGTACATTTTACCAAGCTTGATTAAATTCCTGTTTAGTAGGTAGCTAGGAGAGGAACTGAATAAAAACAATATATGAAGCTTTCAACTCCTACTTTGTTCTTCCTTATTTAATTCTTTTTTTATTTATTTTTATATTTATTTATTTATTTATTTATAAAGATTTTATTTATTTATTCATGAGAGACAGAGAGAGAGAGAGAGAGAGAGGTAGAGGGAGAGGCGGGCTCCCAAGGAGCAGGGAGCCCAATGTGGGACCCCATCCCAGGACCCTGGGATCATGACCCGAGCCGAAGGCAGACGCTTAACCATCTGAGCCACCCAGGCGCCCCTAATTCTTTTTTTAAAGGCTGTTTTAACTCTTCCTTTTTTTTAGGTTCCATTTATGAAATGTTTGGAAATGAATGCTGTTTGTCAACAGGAGAAGTGATTAAAATTACTGGTCTCAAAATTAAGAAGATCATAGCTGAAATTTGTGAGCACACTGAGGGTTGTGAGTCTTTACAACCATTTGAGCTGCCTATGAATTTTCCAGGTATAGTATTTTGTAACCATTTCACATTTATAAAACTATTGTTAATATACATCTATACAATTGAAAACAAGTGGTAGCTTTTTTTCACTCTAGGGTAGTGGGTGAAAACATTAGAATTCTTTTTTATTTTTTTATATGCAGTGTTATGTGAATTTCAGGTGTACAATATAGTGATTCAGCAGTTCCGTACATTACTCAGTGCTTATCTTGATAAGTATACTCTTAATCCCCTTCTCCTGTTTCACCCATCCCCCCACCTCTACCTCCCCTCTGGTAACTATCAGTTTATTCTCTATAGTTAAGAGTCTGTTTTTGGTTTGTCTCTTTTTTCTTTGTTTCATTTGTTTTGTTTTTTAAATTCCACATATGAGTGAAATCATATGATATTTGTCTTTCTTTGACTGACTTATTTCACTTAGCATTATACTTTCTAGATCCATCCATGTGCAAATGGTAAGATTTCATTTTTTTTATGGCTGAATAATATTCCAGTATATATACACCACATATGTATACACCACATCTTCTTTATCCACTCATCTATCAGTGGACACTTGGGCTGATTCCATAGTTCCATAGTTTGGCTATTGTGAATAATGCTTCGGTAAACATAGGGGTGCATGTATCTTTTTGAATTAGTATTTTTGTATTCTTTCGATAAATATCCAGTAGTGGAATTACTGGATTATATGGAAGTTCTATTTTTAATTTTTTGAGGAAACTCCATACTGTTTTCCACAGTGATTGCACCAGTTTGCATTCCCACCAATAGTGCATGAGTGTTCATTTTTCTTCACATCAGTGCTTTTTAAGGACTAGTAAAAGGCAAATTATTTTTCCCCTTTTTAATAAATATCCTTCACTTAGTACTTAATATTTTCTGTTAACAAATACTTAATGAGTTCTAACTGTATGCATTACTTGCTATGCTAGTGAGAATAAAGGAATCAAAAATATTTTACAAAGTTATGTAGGACTAATATCTCTTAAACATATTTACTCTCTTTATTCCTATTGTAAGTAGAATCTTGCTCCCTGGATCATTGCTAAACTTCCCAGTAGGATCCTACTGACACATTTGGTTGCTCTTCTTTTTCTAGTTAATTCTACTCACCCTTCCAAAATTAGCTCAAATATCATATCTTCTGGAATACTTTTGCTGATGCCCTAACCTACTCTGGGTATCTCTCTTTTATGTTTCCATATATCTTGTTCACCAATAGCATTGGGTAGTCATTAATGATTTTCTTATTTGTCTTATTCTCCAGACCAGGTGTTGGCAAATGTTTTTTATAAAGAAACAGATGGTAAATATTTTAGATTTTGCTACCAGATGATCTCTGTCACAACCATTCCAATCTGATGCTGTAACATGAAGGAAGCTGTAGATGATACATAAACTAATGGACATGGCTGTGGTTCAATAAAAATGTATTTACAAAAATAGGTGGCCAGCAGAATTTGGCCTGTGAACTGTAGTTTGCTGACCTCCTCTAGACTAAAACTTTTTGACAAATAAAGTATGACATATATGACTTTATATCTAGTTCCAAGCACTTTTTCAGTAGTCATTTACTGAATGGATGAATGAGTGAAATGAGTGAATAAATGATTAATGGAAGAGAAAAATCTAGTAAACATTTACAATATGATGTGATTTGTGGTGCAATTGAAATATCCATGGGTTCCAAAAAAAAAAAAAAAAGAAGGAGGAGGGGGTGGGGGAGGAGGAAAGAAGAAGAAGGAGAAGAAGAGATATGCATGGGTTCCATGAGAGTCTTGATAAGGAATATCTAACTCTAGTTGGTCATGTTTCAGAACATGGATTTTGGAGTCATTATATATATTTGAATTCCAACTCTGCCACTTCTTAGTTGTATAACCTTGCCAATTTACTTACTCTCCTCTCATGTAAAATGGGAATAATAATACTATCTATCTTCTAGTGTTTCGGGGAGGAGTGAATATTGAAATATGTTTAAAGTGTTCACAATGGTACTTCGTATAGCAAGGACTATAAAAAGTGTCAGGTTTTATACCATTATTATCAAGTGGAGTCAAGTTTTTCAAAGCTTTTGAAAGAATGTTATACTTGAGCTCAGATTTGGAGAATGAAAATAAATTAGCTATGTGAGGAGAGGATTCTTCCAAGTTTTCCAGCATCTTCTTCCTTTCAACTGGAATCTTACCTATTTTTCAGTTCTGTTTACTCCTTCCTTACCCCCATCCTCTATAGCAGTGGTTCTCAAACTTGGCTGCACACTGGAAATCACCTAGGGAGGTTTAAAATATCCTGATGCTCGGGCCAATTGCCTGAGATATTTTGATTTATTTAGTCTGGAATAAAGTCTGGTTACCAAAGTATCTTAAAGTGACCAGGGTGATACTAATGAGCAGTCAAGGTTGCAAACCATTTTTTAATGAGAAGCTTTCCCTGAGTATTCTAATTGAATGTAACAATTCCCTTTTTGAATAACTATACTCTTTCATGCCCTAATCATTGCATTTATCACATTTTGAATGTAATTGAGGTTATTTGTGTGCTTGTCTTAGAGGACCAACTGCTTAACAGCTTACAACATTGCTGACAACAGAATCTGAATCTCATTTACTGTTATAATCCCCACAGTGTTTAGGAGAAGATGTAAATAATAAATATTTATTAAGTTAAAATGACTAGAATCTTCTAGTAGAAGGAGTGTTTCTTATGAGAGTAGTGAAAACACTTAGCTTTTTTTGGAATTTGTATTATATTATATATATTATATTATATTATATTATATTATATTATATATTTACTATAGGGGAATTAGCTCACATGATTATGGAGATTGGCAAATCCAAAATTTGCAAAGCCAATTTCCCACTTAGCTTTTGACTAGCAGTTTAATTTGGGGAGTTGCTATTTAGAATTTTTTGAGTTTTCAGTTGACATGATCAGCTTGTATCAATTGAGCAACAGTTAGAAAAATTTATTTACAAAATTAGTTTTAATGTAAAGATCAGGGCTAAAGTGGAGGGGAAAAGTGATAGGTGATGATTACAGAATACTTTCTTTCAAAGAGGATCCCAGATATAGAAGTAATTCTTCTACCTCAGCACTAGGGAGAAAGAGAAATTAAGGCCATTAACATTTTTTTATTAATTTCAACAGAAACATCTCTTTTTTTAAACTCTTATTTAACATCCTTTCTTTTTTGGGAATTTATGAAATTTTCTTTTGTTACTGATTCTAATTGCATTTTGTTGAGGTCAGAAGACATACTTTATATGGTTTCAATTCTCTTAAATTTTTTCAGACTTTTTTTTATGGCTTAACGCATGGCCTATCCTGGAGAATATTTCATGTGCACTTGAGAAGAATGAGTATTCTGCTGTTGTTTGGTGTAGTGTTCTACACATGTCTGTTGGTTTATAGTATTGTTCAAGTCTTCCAGTTCCCTGAGAATCTTCTGTCTAGATCTATCCATTATTGAAAGTTCCAACTATTATTGAAGTTTCCAACTATTACTGTCAACTTTTGCTTCATGTATTCTGGGGTTATGATATTAAGTGTATATGTGCTTATAATTGTTATCTCTTCTTGATGAGGTGCTCCATTCTTTGTCTCTAGGAAAATTTTTGTTTTGAGCTTTATTTTGTCTGATATTAGTGTAGTTGCTACAGTTTTCTTTTGGTTACTATTTGCATGATCTGTCTTTTTTTAATTTAAATCCAATTAGCCAACATATAATACATCATTAGTTTTTGATGTAGTGTTCAATGATTCATTAATTGCATATAACACCCAGTGTTCATCACATCACATGTCCTCCTTAATGTGCATCACCAAGCTACCCCATCCCCCCACCCACCTCCCTTTCCACAACCCTCACTTCGTTTCCCAGAGTCAGGAATCTCTCATGGTTTGTCTCCCTCTCTGATTTCTTCCCTTCAGTTCCCCCCCCTCCCCCTACGATCCTCTGCACTATTCCTTATATCCCACATATGAATGAATCAATATGATAATTGTCTTTCTCTGATTGACTTATTTCACTTACATAATACCCTCCAGTTCCATCCATGTTGATGTTGATGGTAGGTATTCATCCTTTCTGATGGCTGAGTAATATTCCATTATATATCTGAACCACAATTTCTTTATCCATTCATCTGTTGAAGGGCATCTCAGTTCCTTCCACAATTTGGCTATTGTCGACATAGCTGCTATGAACATAGGGGTGTAGGTGCCCCTTCTTTTTACTGCATCTGTATCTTTGGGGTAAATACCCACTAGTGCAATTGCTGGGTCATAGGGTAGTTCTATTTTTAACTTCCTGAGGAACCTCCATACTGTTTTCCAGAGTGGCTATACCAGCTGGCATTCCCACCAGCAGTGTAAGAGGGTTCCCCTTTCTCTGCATCCTTCCCCTTTCTCTGCATCCATGACAACATTTGTTGTTTCCTGACTTGTTCATTTTAGCCGTTCTGACTGGTGTGAGATGGTATCTCATTGTGCTTTTGATTTGTATTTTCTTGATGGCAAGTGATATGGAGAATTTTTTCATATGTCTGTTGGCCATTTGTATGTTTTCTTTGGAGAAATGACTGTTCATGTCTTCTGCCCATTTTGTGACTGGATTATTTGTGTTTTTTGGGTACTGAATCTAAGTTCTTTATAGATCTTGGATACCAGGCCTTTATCTGTTATGTCATTTGCAAATATCTTCTCCTATAGGTTGTCTTTTAGTTTTGTTGACTGTTTTCTTTGCTGTGCAGAAGCTTTTTATCTTGATGAAGTCCCAATAGTTCATTTATGCTTTTGTTTCCCTTGCCTTTAGAAATGTGTCTTGCAAGAAGTTGCTGTGGCCTAGGTTGAAGAGGTTACTGCCTATTCCTCTAGGATTTTGATAGATTCCTGTCTCACATTTAGGTCTTTCATCCATTTTGAGTTTATCTTTGTGTATGGTGTAAGAGAATGGTCCAGTTTCATTCTTTGGCATGTAGCTGTCCAATTTTCT